CACGGTGCATTTTAAAGCCCTACCTGGGGCAAGGGCATTAGTAGAGAGAAACAGAGAGGAAAAGATGGAAACTGAGGCATGCTGCAACCAAGAGGGCCAGAGCCTGAGACCCAAGAAAGAGATAGGCTGGGGCCAAGAAGCTGGGCCAGAGCCAATAGGCCTGAGCTAGAGGCCAACAGCCAAAGTAACCTGAGGGCCAAGGCCAAGGGCTGAGTCCTGTACAGGAGAGTGAAGGACAATCAAGTGACATCTGTGAGGCATGGGCCTTTTATGAGGGAGGCTAGAGCCCACAATTGGAGCCCTTAAGGTTTGCTTAGGTCCACTAGGGTCATGAGTTATGACTGCTGAGTTTAAGTCATGCCAACAGGGGATGTGTAGTTCTGACTGGGCACGTGAGCTGCCCTTAGAAAACAGGCAAGGTCCCGTTAACAGACAGAAAGCCCAAAGACCATATACCGAATTTGCTAGGCACCATGGAGATCACTCTGGGACTCATGGTCAGCCTCCTAATCAATGTAAAAGGAACATCAAGCAGTGGCAGGTGAGAGAGGACCTGCCTAATACAGGACCTGGATTAGAGCAGGCCTATGGTAGCCACAGGGGGCATCATGGCAGCCCTCAGAGCCCAACCTGCAACAGAAAGTTTGATTATTTATTTATTCTTAAGTCAATTAATGCTGTTCAGCTGCAATTTTATCACTACTATAACACTTCTGATGCAATGCTACTCAATTCCAAGCCTCCACATATTCTTATGAACATGAAGTCCTTTCTTGTGCCTCTTGATTTATACCGACTAGGGTGGCCTGATTCCAGTGTTTGTGATGCTATGAGGATCTTTAAAATATTCAGGTTCATCCAGCCTCCTGAATAATTGTGCATGGCTGTCATTCTTAGGAAGCTGGAACAATCTGTCTCAATTGAATAAAAATTGCACCACTGAATCCTCCAATCCAAAGCACAGAAATTTGGAAATTGAACATCAAGCCTTACAAAAGGTATAAGATCTTCAGCCGACTTACAGATGTAAAAAGAAAAAAACCAAAACACCCAGAACTTTACTTTCAGCTCAGGATGCCACTGCACCAAGCCCAGCACATGTCCAGAAGAGGCATTGTGTTAGTCGTACCCGGGATGCTCAACGTCTGTATACATCACGTTCTTCAGCAGGGCTTTTTGGTGCTTTCATCCAATAGCTGATTCAATCTAATACCTGATTCAATCAGCTATTAGATAAAAGCACTGAAAAAGCCCTGCTGAAGCGCCCAATCTATAGAGACACTGGGAAGCCAGGTCAAACTAACATGCTTCCTTTTCTTGTGAAGCGCGGTCTTGTTTTGCCTTTTTCCACTTCTGTAAGCAGTCTAAATGGTTTAAGATGGAAGTAAAGAAAGGTAGATAGTTAAACTGCCTGTCAACCAACAATAAAGAAGGCTCATTTATTCTATCATGAGATATTTAGAGCTGCAAAATATTTAAGAGTTGATTCTGGCATTAAAAAGGAAAAACCCCATGCTTTCTTTGCTCTGCCTAACCCCATTTTCTTCTTTATTACACCAAATTTTGAACAGGTGCTGAAATACTAGTGATGAAGGATGCTGCCATATAGAACAGACTAAACTAAAATAAATTTGCACTAAAACAAACTAAAATAAAAAGTTTCAACTAGAATAATGCAGAGCTTCAGGACCCTACTTCATTTGTTACTTACTAGTACTTCATTCTTCTGAGGCTGCACATTGAACAAAGCATGGAAATAACATGCAAATCATATGCATTATGGTAAGCTTTAAGATGCAGAATTAAATTTGCACATACCACATTAAACTTTCTGACTTCAGCATTTCACTTGTGCAGTCTTTACCTTCTTTTAGCATACCAACATGCAACTCTGTTAGCCACCTAGCACACTGCCATAATAGGGGTAAAATAAGATCAGATACTGCATGCAACATGCAAATGTTGTTTAAAAAAATTATACTGACTTTAGATCAGATCAGATCAGATCAGATCACTTTTGTCTTTTTTTCTCCTGTCACACCAACCTAACTGTAACTGAAGTCATCTAGGAATAATCTGTTCCAGTTCATTTACTTGGTGCACCCAAAAAGCAGAGCATAACTGGTTTTACTGTCATGTTCCTCAACTACACCATTTAACCACTACTCTGGGAGGCAGCTCACATACAGGCTTTCTGCTATACTCTTCAATTTAATATTAAGTTATTTAATATTAAGCACAAGTATTAATATTAAACAGTAGAAGAGCCAGTGCAGTGAAGCAAAAAATCCTGCACAGGCTGGAAAATGGAAACAAGCAGACAGTGGATGGCAGCTCAGGAAAACTATTCCCCCTTTCCATGTCAGTACACAAGACCAGAGACAATGGAAGCCAAAGCAAGAAGGCAGGGAATCATTTTCTTCCTTGGTATAATCACTCCATAATACAGAGGGCAATGGGAGCCAAATGAAAAGGAATTTTTATTCCCATACTTCTCTAGGTTTTCAGAAGAAATTAGGATATCTTGCCTCAAATTCAACGAACATAACAAGATGGCATTTGGCAGACATACAGTGGAATGAAATCTAAGCAGCATACTAGTGAATACAACAGAAAAACTGCTTTCCTTTGCCAATCAATACTTAGGAAGACAAAAAAAAAGCAGAAGAAAACACTTAAATGGAGTTTAAGAGAACCTTAACAAAATATTTAGGTACTCTCACAGAACATGTGCGTGCATGTTTGCTTGTTTTTAAATTGCACAACAACATGTAATTGTCAATCATTTCTGTTTTAAGTTTGTAGCATTTACATTGATCAAATGCAATGCATTTTGCTCATGAAATGATCTTCACCATCTATTTTAAATCCTAAAGTGATGAGAGTTTAAGTTATATTTCAGCAAGTTTAAAAGTCTTATAAGCAAGACTGAAGGACATCCATCAGGGATCAAATGCAACTGCAATCTTAATATACAAATGGTTTAACTGTATAATGATTACTTCCCACAGAAGACAGCTATACCTATACGGTTCGCCCAGGTACAAAATCCAATGCACTTTCCTAACTACAGCCACAAGTGATATCATAGGCAGTGATGGGTAGGCAGTGCCGAGTCACATCAGGGTCTATTTAGAAAAGTTGGATGTGGACAAATCCATAGGGCTGGACACAATGTACCTGAGGGTGCCGAGGGAGTTGGCAGATGTGACTGTAGAGCTGTGGGCCATTATCTTTTGAAAACTCATGGTGATTGAGAGCGGTCCTCAACAACTGGAAATGGACAAATATAGTACCCATCCTTAACAAAAAGCAAGAAAGAGGATCCAACGAACTACTGACCAATCAGCCTCACCTCAGTCTCTGGAAAAATCATGGAGAAGGCCCTCAAGCAATCCAATTCTAAGCACTTGGAGGAGAAGGCAATTAGGAATAGTCAGCATGGATTCACCAAGGGCAAATCATGCCTGACCAACCTGACTGCCTTCTATGATGAGATGACTGACTCTGAGGATGCAGGGACACCAGTGGATGTCATATACCTTGACTTTAGCATGGCTTTTGATACGGTCTCACACAACATTCTTGCAAGTAAGCCAAGAAGTATGGGTTGGATGAATGGACTGTGAAGTGGATAGAAAACTTGCTGGATCATCAGGTTCAGAGGGTAGTAGTCAATGGCTTGATACCTAGTTGGCAGTTAGTATCAAGTGGAGTGTCCCAGCAGTTAGTTCTGGGGGTGGTGTTATTCAATAGCTTAATCAATTACTTGGAAGCTGGGAAGTATATCCTCAGCAAGTCTGCAGATGAGACCAAGCTCGGGGGAAGTAGTAGACATGCTGGAGGGTAGGGCTAAGATTCAGAGAAAACTAGACAAATTGGAGGACTGGACCAAAGAAATCTCACAAGGTTCAATAAAGAGAAGCGCAAAGTCCTGCACTTAGGATGGAACAATCCCATGAACTAATACAGGCTGGGGACCAACTGGGTAAGCAGCAGCTCTGTAGAAAAGGACATGGGGCTTACAGTAGACAATATATTGAACATGAGACAACAGTGTGCCCTTGATGCCAAGACCACTAACGGTATACTGAGCTGCATTAAGAGTAGTGTTGCCAGCAGGTCAAGGGAAGCAATACTTTCCCTGTAGATGGCACTGGTGAGGCCACATCTGGAGTACTGTGTCCAGTTTTGGGCCCCCACTACAGAAAGGATGTGTACAAATTTGGAGAGAGTCCAGCACAGGGCAACAAAAGTGGTTAGTGGGCTGGGGCAGATGACTTCTGAGGAGAGGCTGGGGGAACTGGGCTTATTTAGTTTGGAAAAGAGAAGATAGGGCAAGGGGGATTTAACAGTAGCCTTCAACTACCTGAAGGGCAGTTCCAAAGAGGATGAAGCTAAATTGTTCTCAGTAGTGGCAGATAATAGGACAAGAAGCAATGGTCTCAAGTTGAAGCAGGGGAAGTTTAGGTTTGATATTATGAGAAACTCTCTCATGAGGAGGGTAGTAAAGCACTGAAACAGGCTTCAGAGGTTGTGGAATCTCCATCCTAAGAGGTTTTTAAGACCTGGCTAGACAAAGCGTTGACTGGAATTATATAGTTGAGGAAGGTCCTGCTTTGAACAGGAGGTTAGACTTGACCTCCTGAGCTTGCTCCCAATCTTAATTTTTCTATGATTCATTATAGTTGTAGTGCTTTCAAAGTAAATGCAAGTTTTACGAAATAACTTTAAGATACCCAATCCTTCCAAGCCTGGTAGTTATAATATGCTGTCCGACTACTGTAAAAGGAAGAGTGAACAGCAAAACCAAAATGGGTTATGAAATCCATAAGAAGCCAGCTGCAAGAGGGTGAAACTATACATGAAACTTTAAAGGGGGGTGGAGGGAGGGAATCTATAGAATCAATAGCTTATTTGCTCTCCAAATTTAAAAATGAAATATCATAAAGCATGATGCATAGAACAAACTTTCCAAAGTCATGAATAGTAACTAGTACCTAGAAGCTGCAAACGATCCTTGGCCATAGCCATATTAGTCATCATTTTAGACTGTAGACGTCGTGCTCGTTCACACTGATCACCTTGCAAAGAGTAAAAAAAGTCAACATTATTGGAATATTAGATTAAGTACTTAGAACACCCACCTCCCTCTATCCTTGTAAAAGTGACACTTACCTCTTTCTTAACCACTCCCCCACCCCCAAAATTAAGAGGCTTTTGGAATGAAGTTATTTAAACCTTAGTTAAGAATCCTAAAGAACATTTCTTTTTTTTTTTTTTTTTTTGGGGGGGAAGGGGTGCATGAAGAGAAGAAAAGCCATTAAGCATACTATCACCAGCCCAAGGAAATTATCTTGAGTTATATTCATGGAGCATAAAAATACATAGCAACAATAATATACAATTTTATCCAGGGACCTAAACTCTAGAAGATAAAATTGGAATTCATGCTAAGAAAAAAAGTCAGTAACAGATATTTTCTGTTACATAAGTTTTACTGGGCATTTTCATGATCCAAACTGTCCATGATTTTGAATATCCTGAATATACTTAATCAAGATTTGCCATTACAGTGGATCAAAAAAATAAGTTAGGACAAAATTAACAGAGCAATGGTTCTATTTTAAAACCAAAACAGAATTTTAGTTACATAAGTGTTTCTCATTTCGCTATATGGAAAAAAGTTAAACGGCATTGTCAAAAGCATCAAACTCCATTAGGAAATATTCTGCAAATACTTGTCTAGCACCCAGTTGAAACAATGTTTATTTTGTAAAATGATCCCCCTCATCTGACAAGTGTGAAAAGCTGCTGAACTTTCCTCCTTTTCTGAGAAAAAGTCACAAAGTGCTTTTTGTCATTTAAGTCAAAACTTTACACAAGATTAAAAAATGGCTTTACCTTGACCAACAACTAAAACAGCTATTCCTTTTTCCAGTTCTTCAATTCCTTTCTTATACCATTCAATAGCTTGCTCCTTTTG